TTACTACTAGCGTGGCACTTGTTACTACTAGCGTGGCACTTGTTACTTTCTTTCAGATCTGGATATATACAGTGGACTTAAGAGTAGATGGCACACGTTTCCCCAAGTTGGGGGGTTGTTTGATCCTGGCAAAAAGGGGCACACTGCGAAAACGAGCTGAGTGGAAGTGGAGAGTGAGTGAGTGAGTGCGTGCGTGCGTGCGTGCGTGGGTGGGTGGGTGGGTGGGTGAAAACCACTTCTCACTTGTTTGGCTTTGAGGGTGATCCTTCATCGGGGCCATGGCTTTCAGGGACTTTGGGCGTGTATCAGCCAGGAGAGACCAACCCCTTTGTTTGTGTCCAGTAGACTCAGTAGACCCTTGAAATGAATGAGTGCTGATTCTGTTTGTGACATGTCAAACTTTCAAGTGCCCATTGCGTTTGGACACCCATACTCTAGATGGCTTGGGATATCGCTTCACGAGTTGTTGGTTTTCCAAACGCTTACACACTGAAGTGCCGATAGTGCTGATTGTTTCCAGAGAACAGATTCAGATTGCTCTTTTTTGTATTGGTTGTGTGGGGTTCAAACAAAGAAACTACGAAAAAGAGAAGTGAAGACAGCCGGTCCTCACTTGAAGGGACATGGGAGGCTCTGGTAGAGCAAACGAGACGATGCAGATATCTCCACGGGGCACGACGCATCTCGACGAGCCAGGATTTGTGCTGGACTTGTCGCATGCCATGTCACCCGCAACTCAGAGGCAATCGTTTTGAGAACAAGATCAATTGTTGGCAGAAAGGGCAGGTATGAACACATTGGACATGTCTTTTCAGATGAGATGCTGAAGCGCATCTCCAAGGACCGCACATGTGCTGTCAACGTCGTCACGTCGTCGTCGCGTCGGGTCGGGAGATCGTCCGATTGGCCCTCGGATTGGACGGCTAAGCGACCGGAGCCCCGTGAAGCGGACGGCCGCGTTTGCCTTCGCCTCGAGTTTTGGAAGATGTTTTTAGCTGGTTTTTATCGGCCAGGCTGCCTTACATCAGGCTGCTGATGTGGATCAGGTTGACCCATGTTGACCCATGTTGACCCCACATCCATTTGTGGTCTGCGAGCTTTCTTAAGACGTGTTTCCACAGCTCTCACTGTTACGACTCACGCACTCTGATACCCCAACAAGGGTCCCTGACCAGCCGGTGGATGTGCAATGGACATCCAGTCTATATAAAGGGATGAAAAAGGATGTGTAGATATAGGTAGTCTATTGAAGATCTTGAGATGCCTATCTGCTTTTTCTTTTTTTTCTTCGCTTCTTCAGCCTTCTAAGGTGGCCATCAAGAGCTTCAAGACCACGGCATATCCGGCCCAGGAGGTGAGAATACACCGAACGACTCCGGAAAACCGGGGGACTGGTGTAAGAAGGGGAGATGAGGACTTCTCCAAGAAGGGGGGGACTGGTGAGCTTGAAGCGGTGATGAGAAACCATTGGGTTTGTGAACAAAAACGTGGACGAGACGAGACTGATGGCCGTTTTTGATGGCCTACATATGCCTAACTAGTCCGAGCTTAGCCAAACAATGAAGCCCTTTAAAGTCTATATATGCATGGGCATGTTTCTACGAAGATGTCATGCTGCCTGGGGGTTGCCCCAAGACCTGTTTTGCTGCTAGTCTCCAGATTCGACCCCCAGTGTGGCACGAGAGGTGACTGAAGGTGGAGACCCAGACCCGGGAGACCTCCTGCGTCTTCCACGCCCCTGAAATCATCGGAAGAGTTCGGTTTTTGGGTCTTCCACGTCTTTCTCTACACCCACCTGCAGGGTGAGCTCCACTTCCAATCACTGGTGCCCGCACTTCGTCCCTAGGAGGGTGTCAAAGACTGGTGGCACGTGGACGTCGTCTGGGATGCTCAGAAGTCGTGGAACCTTCAAGACCTGTGCAGTCTTGCTGGGTCTGAGTGCTGGTGCTGGTGCTTGTTGGTGCTGGGTGGGGTTGGTGCTGGTGCTGGGTGCTGGTAGACAATGACTTTTCTTGGCCAACCTTTGTTGAAGCCAAATGAAGTCCCCAAAACATCCCAAAACCTGCCACAGTCTTCTCACTCCCAATGATGGTCACAATGCTTATGGTGTGGACCGGCCATTTCAATGGATTTCTTGCAGATGGTTTAAGCATCCTTTACCACATGAATATCATCAATCATCCTCACCATGCTTGAAAAGATCAAGCAACACACCAACAACCAACCAACAACCAACCAACACTCCACTGCTGTGCTTCCACTCCACTGCACTGACCAGTGATTTGTTTGTCAAACAAAAATGCGTCGATGCCTGAGGTCCAGACCCTGATGGAATGGAACCAAGGCCTGTTCGAAGCCCTGGGAGGCGAGGCTCCGACCGGGAGGGCAGACCTGGACTGGAAGAGGAAGGAAGGGTCCGGTCACCCTCCGGACAGGTTCGGGTTCGGGTTTGCAACAAAACCAAACAACCAACAACCTCGGCATGAAAGATAAGGCTGAAACTGGTGGAGTTGTTTCTTTTCTTTGGGGGGGGGTTGTGGATGTCACGAAAGGTAGCTTCAGCTACCTGAGTTCTTGCTTCAGCAAACATGTATTTCAATATGGAGTTGGGATTGTGCATTGAGTTTGGCCCTGTCAGGAAGGATTCTTCGTCATAGGGGCGGCCCGCTGGATCAAATCCCCGCTGTGCCGTCGTAGTTTGGGTGCAAATCTTGTCGTGGTTTGGGTGCAAATCTTCTCTTGTGCAGAGCAGCAGCAAATAAGGAGTAAAACAGGCAGCATCGAGCAGCGCAAGCACGCAATGAACAAGCACTAGGAGAGGAGAAAAGACACCGTACTCTCATAATTCAACTTTCAGCCAGTGCTGCAAGGTTTCACCCTCCGCCAGATAGTGTTTCACTCTTCCAAAACCAGCTTTGACTCTGCAACAGCAGCGATGACATGCAGATGTGGAAGAACCGCAATTGACCAAAACCATTGAACGACAACACCGACATCCTTCAGCCCCACCACCTTGCCCGACGACGGTGCCCGACTGTCGGATGTCTGCATGGAGACAGTCCTGGCGACAGGTGAAAAAGCCTCAAAAATTGGGAGCGATGGGCTGAGACATGTTTCTTTAAAAATCGCATCTTCGATCAAGTGAGCCACCGCCAAACCGCGCGAAATGTCTTCAGTCAGAAGCGCTCGTGCCTCTCGAGACTTGGACTCACCCCTTGCTTGTTCTCTCTCCTGTCCCCCCCAATTGCTACGCCTTAATTTCACCCCCTATCTCAAGTTGATTGACGTTGTGTCTGCTCTCGGCATGAAAGAATCCGATGTGGAAAGCGTGGCCCCTGAAGACCCCGATGACCATGAAATCCGAAGACAGAGCACTGCCAAATGGATTTCAATCCACTTCCATGTCGGATTAAGTGTCATTTCTAGCTATATATACACAGCTTGTACTGGAAACATCTGGAAACGGATCCTCCACTGTAATGTAGACTCTTGATTCATAAACCCCATATGAAGAGGATGTCCAATTCAACTTGGGGTGGCTGCATCTACATTACATTACTACAGGCCACATACGTGACGTGTCCATGAAGAGTGACTGATGACCCGCCACGATCCTGGGTCAGGCGAGGCAACCGGGGCATGGACAACAGGACCCTCGGAAGCTGAAGAGGTCTTGCAGCTTGGATTCAGATGATCCAGAGGTTTTATCTGGAGAAAGAAGAGGAGGGGCAGATTATGGCAGAGTTCATTCAGCAGATGTCAAATGATTTTATAAGGTGTTGGTCCCACATCTGGTTTTTTCTACCGTTTGGGCTTCAGGATCATGACGAGGCTGCTGGAGAGGTATGTTCCGCACATGAGTTGCGCAGATCCACATCGTGCTGCCTCCACGGAGACCCAACTCCGGCGGCCCAGGAAGGATTTGGAGGGCGCTGTGAAGACGCTCAACGCCGCACTGGCGAAGAAAGACTGGGATGACGAGGTGGGAGGGGATCGGAGAGAACAGAGGGATCGGTTTGTGTTGGTCTTCATCCATGTTCCCTATAGCCCGAGCAATGGACACATCGGCCACCGGCAGCCAAAAGGCACCATCTTATGATGATGTGGGAGGCTGGAACCGCCTTCAGGAACAACGTGCTTCAAGAGTTGCTTCAAGTTATCACAGTGTTTTTCTTCATGTCACCGTGACGGCTGACCCCGACCTGCGCCTGGTGCAGAACGCATGCACACGGAGCGCGGGCCCGTGCAGGATCCATGGTTTTACTTCACCAACGGTGGCTTGGCGAGCGAATGCGAGTGAAGATCGTGAAGTGAGGTAACGGGTTCATATATGGCGCCATGGGCACCATATGGCCCCGGATCAAATGAACAGGTTCCTCTTTTTCAGGGCAAGACGACGCATCCATGGTTTGGTGGGTGTTCGGATGTTTTCATAGAGACAGAAAATTCGGACGCACCCAAAGATGTTGTAACGTAAATTTTTCAATCCCCCCATCTACCAGGACCGACGAGGTGTCTATCAATAGCCTCTTAGAGGTGATTCGAGGTGTCCAAAAACCACCGGACTTGGTTTCGGTCCCGGTATGGAGATGTTTTTAATCATCCAATGTTTTTGGGGAAGGTTTATTCGTCAACCGTAGACCTCATGACACGGTGCAACCGTCAAGCAGGAAGGCCCTGAACAATCGAAGAAACAGGGAAGCAGCTGCGCTGGCAGGCTCCTCCTGAGACGAACATCAGACGTGCAGGTGTTTTTTTCTGGTCTCACAAGGATCTGCATATACCGGATTTCTGATGGAAATTGTCATGAGTAGGTAGATTGTCCGCATACCGTAGCATGAGTTCTTCAATGTTTCATGTAGTTTGTCATGAGTTATTCAATGGGTCCGTCATGGTACACGGGAGGCAGGCCGGGATTCGTGGGGATCCAGGAGATTTCTGCCGGCTACACTCGAAAACACGCCATCCGGGTCGGTCGATTCTACCCACCAACCGTGTCGCGCAGCGTGGTCAGAATGGACTCGGGGCATCGCCACCAGTCACAGGAAGCGGGGCTCGTCGCTGAGGCTTCTCGCACAGGCTGGTGCCCGAAGCTCACATCACCTACACAGGTAGGAGAGCCGCGCAGAACTGGCAATAGCATACAAGTTGGATCGTGTGAAAACCTACATTCTATCACTTCCGGTCATTTTTTGTGAACCTATAATAGGTTTGGAAAGGACATGAAAGGACATCTATGTGAACCTATTCTACGTCGTAGAATCTTTTAGTGGAAACTGGTCCTATCGCTGCCATGGCCTCTTTGTAGGACATATATAAGGACCCTGCATGGTTCAACATGGAAGCCGAGCTGCCTAGGAGCGCATGTGCTGTGCCATTCACAAGCCTAGGCTTGATGACTATCCACAGGTCAAGGAGATGCCACGATAGTTAGTTAACAGTGATGGTTCGTTTGTGGTGTGAAAACGCAGCCTTTTCCCGCGTCTTTCATTTTTAAGCTCCTTCCACACCATCCCAGCAACGTCAATCACATCGCGCGCGCTGTGCTGGTTCGTGGTTTTCTTGTTCAGGCCGGGTAGGCGATGAGATCAAAGCCTTCGAGGCCTGTGCAATCATGTCGGTTGGTCGGTGGTGCTTTATCAGTATTTTTTTTGCACAGCTCATGAATAGAACATATCCCAGACCCGACAATCCATGGGACTGGTGTCTATAGATGTCTAATGATGTCTACTGTCTTGTGCATCGACCGGTTTTCGACCCTACAGGTTGTGATCGCTTAAACCTGCCAGTGCCAGACAGGTCGTGTTGGGGTAGAACTCTCGTTGGTGTCGTATCTCAATCTCCGCAGAACAGGGTTCCACAAATGCCGGCACTTGTCCTTTACGAACTGAGGTTTTTGCGTGTGTACCCATGTGTACCTCTTTGGGAAAATGATCAACAGCAGTCAACGTGATGTTTCTTAGGGTTCTTCTTCAATATTGGGTGGCCATCCTTTCATATCGTTTCAACAAGGCTGTTCTTCATCCAAAAACTGGCCAATTCGGAGGTCCCAAGCTGTTTTGGGTCCCAGAATGAAGCCAAGCAACTGCAGATCCACTTCCGTTCTTTTCATGTGCCAGGCGCGAGGTGACTGGAACAATCCCAAGATCGAAGACATGGAGCTTGGTTTGGCACACGCGGCTGGTGTCGCTCGGCTTGGGAGGGCAAAGCAGGGTATAACGAAGGAGGAGAACGACGTGGGGGTCGAAATGGAATTCAGAATCTAGACAGATCATTTAAACAAGTAAATAATGTTTGGTTTCCCGAATAGTAAATCATTCAGACATATTTTGGACACCTAATGATTTGGAGGGCACTTCTTGGCTGCATACCTGCAAAAATTGGAAAGCTCCAGGTTCAAGACGAGCCCCACCAGCACCCAGTCCGGGTAAGTAAAAAGAACCGAACATGCTCTTTATCATCCAATAATCCAAAAAGGGTGGCGCTGGCAGTTTCTAGTTGTTTGGCAGATGTGTGATTTGTCCAAACATGTTGGGTCCGTGGAAGACATTGTGAGGCCCCGAAACTGCTAAGTTTCACGACCTTTTTGACCTAAGACATGGTCATCACAGAGTTTGATTGCTCTACTCACACGGGTGCAGGAGCAATGGCAGTCCACCCTGGGCTGAAATGAAACGAGCTACTCATACGGAGTTTTGCAGGGAGAAACACCGTTTTGTTTTTCGTGTTTGAGCGCTCTTTCCAAGATATCGAAAGACACACCGCCGACCTTAGTACTGACTCAACGATTGTATGTTGATATTTGCGGTGTCCGAACTTAGCTGTAGAGCCGTCGGGTTTCACAAGAAGATCACTATTTTTGAGAAAGGCCTGCAACCTAGCCATCATCATCCACTGACGCCTGGTAATAGGGTACACCCAATATCACCCAATGTTTATACGACAAGTCGAGATCCGAATTTAGTGTTTCCTTTGTCAGCTGCCTGGAACTTGACAGGCACCAACTGCCAAGACAGAGAACCAATGACTGAAGATACCTCTTTCAATGTATTTTTTTTCACGTCTTACCTAGGACCTAGGACCCCATCTGACCCCTTTTTGTTGATAGGACAGAAAAGGGTGCCATAAGATGCCACAAGATATGGGTGGTGGTCCACAATGGAGGTCATTCATGTTTCTTTACTAGTAGCCAAAGGGCATCGCTACTAGTAGCGATCGGACGCTATTGGAGGGTGGAGGCCATCGCTACGTACGTAACAACCTCTCCACCCGAACCTCACGCCGAACGCGGCGTCACTCCACGAACTCTGACAGGTGCGCCGCGGATGGGTGCTCTCGGTGGAGGATACCTTGAGCGAGGAGATTTGGGAAGATCGGGAACGACGGTCCGGGAGGAAGACGAGTCAAGGCATCCTCCCCTTGTTTGGTTTGGGCAACAAGAATGGATGGAGGAAGATGCAGATGTATGCAGATGTACTGTAGTTAGGCAAGCTTGGTGACGAAGGCTCTTCTCCAAGGGTACGTTTCCTGTTGAGGCTGGTGGTCATTCTAGCATAGTACGACACAGCATACCTTCTTTACACAAACAGCACAACCATCACCTCCTCCCCTCAACCTGTGTGAAGAGGGCAAAAGCACATGGTTTTATCACCCTTTCAAAGCACATTTGCCATTTTTGTCCTCTTCATCAAGTCCAAAGAAGAAAGGGCTCATGTCCAAGTGGGCTGGAGCCTCTTCACGCTGGCAGCCTCGGCTCGTCTTCTCCTCGCCGGCCAGTTGCATGGCTGAAGGATGCTGAACGACGCCAGTGACCCAAATCATGTGATCTCCACCTTGTTGATTTGCACATGTTTGCACTCCCACTCTTGATGAATTCTATGCCATCCGTTGGGATCCGGGATCCGTTTTTCAGTGCAAGCCAGGCAATAGCAACATGTTCTGCTCGGAGTCGCTGCCCCCCTTCCGACACTCGCGGATTCTGCTCAAGCATGAAGAATCGCCCCCATGGGCAGATCGCCTCCAAAATCACATCCGTTTTGTGCCTCAGGATGCCTCAGGTGTTTGTTCATGTTTGTTGATATACACCAAGGGTTTGGGCATATGTTGGCAAAAGAGAAAGATCTGAGTGTTTTGGTGACACGAGCATCACCACAACTGGTAAGCATCTTTCTTGGAAGACATATCAGCTACAAAGGAAGCTGTATATTGAAGAGCATCAGTTTGATTTTTCAGAACAGCATGTATGTCAACATATTTCAACATGCTGGGTCAACGGCGGAGTTTGCCCCGACGGCAAGCAAACGTTTCCGACCAGTGAGCAGGGTTTTCCGGGGTGGGGGTTGGGGGGGGGGGCTGGGGACAGTTTCGTTCGTGTTACTCGTTGCGCAAAGCAAACATCGCGTTTCTGGACCGACGTCGTCACGTTGCGTTCCAGGGTTGGACTCAATGCTAGAGGCTGTGAGAATACACAGAGAGGCTGCGCAAGACACTTGTCCGCCAGCTCAAATGTACAGTGAGCTCTCATGGCTCACTTGGGAAGAGCACTGAAGTCGTGCCGCAAAAGGTTCCTTGAATTGCAGATCATCGACCATGCAGGTGGGAGGACGGGAAAGACTCCAGGATTTGACTGAGTGGTCTTTGAATGGTCTTCACAATGCACTCAACTTATCGTCTTGGAGCTCACTTAACTCCAAGACGATAAGTTGAGTGTCCCGAAACCCCAACAACCCTGTAAAGCGCATGCTTTTCTGACCCTCAACATGTTGCAGTCTGGGCAAAGCCCCCGTTTACCCAATATGTTGTAATTTAGTTGCAGGATGTGTCGAGTAGTCAGTTGAGTAGGGACAGAACAGGAAGAGTAAAGATACTAGACTATAGATAGTCTAAACCCACTGATTGGGGTCTCGGTATGAAGATACAAAGCCAAAGTCATCGCGGCAGCTCGACCTCCGATGGTAAAAACAAAAAGCACACAAGCCCTGGAAGTTGGTGCTGGGGAGGTGTTCATTTGGGTGTGCACAAAGCATTCCCAAAATAGGGAGACCTCCCAGGCGTTCATTGGGCCAGGGGCCCCCCATCAAAAAACACACCCAATTTGGCCTCTCACATCTTCTCATCCACTTTGTGCTGTCCACTTCGCGTCGCCAGGAGAACAGCGGCATCATCCCCGAGATGACCCAGGAAGATGCCGCGAGCGTTTCTCACGCGTGAGACACGTGACGCGTGCGGCGTGACCCATAAAGGTACTCGGCTTGGCTCCGAAATCCGAAAATTTGTTGGGCAGGTGCCGGAAGAGATGCCGCCGTCAGTAGGGAGAATGGACAGATTTTGCTGTAGCGTTTCTTGCGAATTGGTCGTTTTTCTTTCTACTCCTAGTGGACGAGACGGTGAAGAATTGGCAAAGCTACAAGCTGTTTTCCAATGTTTTCCAGACTTCTGCAAGAGTTCTGAAGTAGAAGACCCTACAAGATTTGGAACTTGTAGACGTGATCTTAAAATATATATCAATTAACCTATAAGGTTTGTTAGTAAGACAGACTCCTAGACTTCCGAATCTCAGGGTTCGGGCCCGGTTTCACACACCAATGCCTATCGACCCAAAAGGGCCTACAGCACCGGATTGCTTGACCTCGAACCCCAAAAAACCGTCCGATCTTTTCGCACCGCGGTGCAGACCGCGGTGGCCGCGGTGGCGGCGGCGGGCGCAGTAGTTCCCGTGCCGATCTGGTCTCCAACGTCCAGGAAGAGATGAGGTTAAACCCGGAGAAGCTCCTGGAGATGAGCGGCATCACCTTGGTCTTCGAGTGTGAAGACGCTCTGAAGACACTGCAAACGTTTTTTTTTGGATTTGTGGTGCGTGAATTGGATCGGCAGCCCACGGTTGGTGCAGGGTCATGGGGCGAGGTCAAAGAAGGAGAGGTGCTACTCAGGTCGGAAGAGGTCGCAAGGCTTCATGAGGAGCCGTCGTAGCTGGGTTCCGGATGTGTTTTTGTGGATCCTTAGAGGTGGACGTGGCCAAGTCCGAAAAAGCAAAGACATGGGACATGAGTTGACCCAGCGCGGCACAGCAGCCCTTGGAGATCAACCTACTAAAAGATCTAAAAGGTGCCGATTCGTGATCACGCGAAGGGGTCCCTGGCCGCGCGGAAACAGAATGAGCGGGTTGTCGCTTGAGGTGAAACGGGGGACGATGGTTTCTTGGGACAGAGAGACCTTCATCATGTACAGGAGTCATGGGAAAGATGGCTGAATAAGGAAATGGACCTCAACCTTGCGATACCACACCCAGGGAAAAGGAACCTTTTCTACTACTCCATGCGCCTTACCCTAAGCCCCATCCCCATGTTGTCAAGAACCCTACCGGGCTGCTCCCGGCTCGAGATCTGCTTGAGGACGCAGATCCGACTTGCCAAGCGGAGATGTACGGGGAAAGCTTCTGGAACTTCGACTGTGAGAGCAACAATGCTACTGCACCCTGGCAGAGCAACAGAGCAAGGGCTGAGAAGGCTCAGAGCTATGTTCTTAGTGGATTGAGAGTAGATGACACAATCCTCAAGTTTGGTGGTTGATATGGACCTCCATCCAAAAGACCTCTTACCAGTGGCCCCACAAACCATCCAAAACACCTGATATTGGTTTTCCCATGGGTGCTTCAGTGTGAACGACTTATCCCAGACACGACTAATGAGACTGCCATAGGACTGCCGATCAGTCCAGGGATGGTTGACTGGGGGTCAATGGGGTGGCAGTCCGGCAGTCGCAGACCGGTCGTGTCTGGGTATAGATACCTATTCCAGACACTCCATGTATGGCATATTTACATACATTGACCCCCAAAACCACCCCAATGTAAGCATATATGCCAGTTCCATGGAGTGTTTGGGTATGAGTTGGGGCCGCTGGTCGGGGCCGGGCCATCGCCCGGAGTTTCCGCCTGGCCTGGTCGCTGTTCGCAGCTAGAAGACGAGGCGACGGTATGGGCGAGACACAGAGGGGTGCACTGAAGGCGAGTGGTTTTTCAGGCATCCGGTGTTTTTGGGTTGGGGGGAAAGACCAGGTCACAGCCTGAAGTGAGGCTTCGTTTTTGTGCGTAATGGACTCGTCCGCAGCATTCTTTTGGATGTCCACACCGAGGTAAACATTAACTTTGAAATGCTACACTTCTTGCCCTCCCTGTACCTTTCTTTTTTCTTGGGGAATGATCCAGCATTTGGGGAAGAAACCGGATCGAAGATCAACGAGGGCAGTTCTCAAACATCACAGAGTTTGGTTCGTCTTTGCTTGCAGTTCAGGTGTTTTGAGGGGTCTGTGCTTGCACAGCCCTGTCCTTTTTGTTGGGCCCTAGTCTCAAAGCCACCATCGGGCCTGGGGCCCGGGACGGAGTTTCGCTGTCGGGTGGAGCCACGACGAAGCCACCGAAGCCGCCTGCAGCATGAGACAACTCAGGTCGAGTTTGAGACGGATGGCGACGGGTCCAGTGCGAGCCCTATAGATCACTTGGAAAGATGCTTTAGAGTTTAGTCCCCAATATGCGCAGGCTGCTAGGTTCTCTCAAAACATCACTTAACACATCTTAAGACCTTGTGTTGAACGATGTTGAACGTATAAATACATCATATAATGCATCCATTAAAAAAGGATTGTGGATTGGACCGGTGCATCCGATCCCAAACACAAATTCCTCATCGAAGGCAGTTTCGGGGTCAGAATATGCGACTCTGCGACTCGACTCCGATCCAGAATATGCACCGAGCAAATCAACCACTTCTTATCCATCAATATGAATGGATGGTTGGGTAGATTTGGGTAGGGACATATTGAGATTTGAAACACTGCTGTTCAATCTTAGGAGCGTGCTTGGTCTGTTGAACCTCTGCTCTTCGCATAAGGAGTACAGGTTACGATGTTCCTTGTTCTCGAAAAGAAGACGCTCTCGCTCTGCCGTGTGGTATATCGTCCTTTATGTTTCACCCCCCGAGCCCCTTGGGCGCCGGGTATCTTCACTCTCTCATTCTCTGGCTCTGCGGAGCCTCCGCTGCTTGCTGCTCATCGCATCGGGGGCCCATTCTGAGGCGCGCCGGAGCGGCGCTGGGGCATTTTAGCCTTGGCGGTGCCGAGCAACTTCCAACCGAAGATCGAAGGGCCAGAGCAGCCACTCAGTGAGGATGGGAAGGTGATGAACACGTAATTCATGACGGTGCCCCCGTTCCAAGGTTTTGAACATGTAACAGATCGAACAACAATGAAGGTAGGGATTTTAAGGGGACTTCCTGTAACCGGGAGCCGTGTGGGTGGGTGTGTGGGTGATGCACTGGCTGGGGAGAGTTCATTGAGGGACTTAATTTGGTGTTGTTGGGACCGAGTGCATGAGAAAGCAAACAATATGATGAGCTATGGCATGCGTTGCCTTAGATTCAATGGTTTTCCCCAACCCCAGGAGAGGCTCCAAGTGAAAGTCGGATCCTGCAATTGTCTGATTCGAATCCGGATCTACGACTGCACTGGTCACGGATAGATCACATCGTTTCAGAGTTTAAGCTCATCTCCTGCGCCATAGAGATGAAGAAAGGCATCCAGTTGGGCCGAATAGACAGACATTCTTTTTGGTGCACAAACACAGGCATTGTCTTTTGCATCATGATGCATCATGCAGCTACTTAATGGCTGCCAGACACGGTTCAGTGGCCCCTTCATATACTCCAGGCTACAAGTAGCCGCGAGCCCAGCGCTTGGGTCAGAGCACCATATTCCAATTGGGATAGACGCATCCAGACGCATCCAGACGCATCCAGACCTTTGATGAGGTGGAAGTTTGCAAGTCGCCGCCCGGATGCAAAAGAGGTTAACCGCTTTTCGCTGACGGCGGTCCTCCGTCGCCGGTCTACCATTTTCGCCAGCGCTGGACCCAACGAAGCAGCCGGTGCGGAGGTCTACCATCACCCCGGACCAGAGATTTGCTCCCAGAACTCTGGGAGCCCGTTCTTGTTACTAGTATAGTAAGGCCTCCGTGAGGGATTGGACTTTTGAGGCTCAAAGCAGGAAGGTTTGAAGCTGTGAGTCTTTGTGTGATTGATCTCTGAAAGACCAATTTGGGAGATTGACGAAGAGGCGTGTCCATGAGCTTTTGGATGACACTACGTGATTGAGGATCCACTGAACACCTTGTTGTGTGGCCAAGGACAAGCCATGTTCTTCTATTTGTCGGACACAGATGTTCTAGATCTCTGGCTGTTCTTTCCTGGTGGGAAGGGTCAAGAGGTCGTTGTATCAGGTGAAGGCATCATCCTGATTGGAGTATGCAGCATGTCCAAGAAGCCCACTCCTCAATCTCTTGGACTCGATGTGTTCGCATCGCATCCCTATCATCCATAATCCAGGGGGACGGCAGAAATCGGCGGCCGACCGACAGGGGGGAGGAAGGAGTGCTATTCTACCCCCAGAGTGTTTGAGCGCAAGCATTTCATCGAAGACCCTTACCAAAGACTTAGTGATCTCCTCGCAGGATTGGATGTTTTTCTTACAGTTGCATCACTGACAGTCGTTGCCGAGTGTGGCAGTATACAGTATTCAGACCAAGACTTGGCCAAGACTTGGCCTATCTAGTTTCCGTCCTTCCCCCCATGGACTGCTTTTGGGGTCCCCGGCTGCTCCGGCTCAGCTGATGGCTACTACGGAGAGCTGCAACCCTTGTCGATCCTGAAGGAGGCAGATTTCAAGGCCCTCGTGGCCAGCCCCGTGCCGCGGCGATGACGAACTCGATGGACCGATGTCGGGGCCAATGGGCGACACTGGGGATCTGTGGGACTTGGTGGGGTGGAAGTTGCGACATCGAGTGGAGTGTGGAGGTTGGAACTTGGTGGGGTGGTGGTGCACGGCTTCGGTATGAAAGGGTGGGTGTTTCAAGTTCTCGGGAACATCCTCTTCTGGGGTCGATGTTTTGTTGTCTTCTTTTGGGTTGTTCCCCACCTGCCAGGTGAGGGTTGTTAGATTTTATCAGAGCTCTTCTCCTCTTCTCTTCTCCTCTCCTCGTCTCCTTGACTACCGCACCTCAACTGCCAGCTCCAGATCACAATGGGCTATACCTCAACTGCAAGTGCATGATCGCAGTGGCACTACCGGACCTCGACAGCAAGCGCCAGATCGCAGTGGGCACTACCGGACGTCGCCAAATGCATATATGCTTAGATAGAATGCCACAGTGTACGCCAAGTAGAATGCCAGAGAATGCCAGAGTGCTTGCCAAGTAGAGTGCCAGATAGAGTGCCAGCAGTGATTCCAGATAAAATGCAAGCAGTTATGGTAGATAGCATGTTATAGCATGTCAGCAATTTTGCCAGATAGAACTCAGAGTATATGCCAGATAGACTGTCTGATTTTATGCAAGATAGACTGCCAGGATATCTTTGATGGCCGAACAAATGTCGGAGTACATGTCAGAACACATACCAGGACTGAAGTTGGTTCATATGTTGCCGCACATGTCAGACAGGAAAAATGTCAGAACACACACGCCAACAAAGATGTCAGAACACAGTCCAGAATACAGATGATGCGTCAGTGATGCCAGAACAAGCGTCAGAACATCGTGTCCCACACTGCCATGTCTGGGATGTTTGCTGATCAGTTGAGGCGGTTGAAAAGGGGTCAAGGTAAGTGTTTCTGATTCTCCGTGTGTTTTGCCTACAAATCCTCTATGTTCGACCTCTTTTCCTGGTTCCCTGTTTCAGCACAAACCAGTCTCGGGTGGCCCGAGGAGAAGCTTGGGGATATTCCCATCAGCGATGAGATTCCTATCAGCGATGATCCCGTGCTGACGATCTCTGAGAAGGCGAGGTCTCGGCTCCCCGGCGACCATCTCGCAGCTGCGGAGGCCCATGGTTAGGGGCCATGACGGCCTCCCTTGGAAGCGGGAACGTGAAGAAACACATACTACAACAGACATCAAAAGACCCTGCTCCGGTTATATACGGTTAGGGGTACCAGCCAGGCCCAACACGTGGTTTCGGGATGGGTCCAATGATTCTTGTTTCTTGTGGCCAAGAGGGCGCGGTCGCTTCCCACGAGCCTCCAGCGCTGGGTGATGCTGAATGATAGATACGCATGAATACCCCCTTTGCACAGCAAAGTCTATCGGTAGAGTCTACTTGAACAGAAAACAATCGGGCAGCAAAGGGTACATGGAAGAGTTCTAGGTAGAGTTCTAGTGCCATTTGCGGGTCCTTCTCCATCCCACTATTGGAAAACAGAGGACCAAAACCGAGTGCTGTGCAAAAGTGGAGTCGGACTCGAGCTTTAGCAGGGTGCCGGAGGATGCATAGGTGAAGACTGGTGAAGACTGGGTGAACATGTCCACTTCAACTGAGTGAACACCGGCTGTGCATAGCAATGGGAACATTGGACTAGACATGTGAGTGAGAAGGGTTTGTTGATCCCTTTCAGGGTCCATGCGCAAAGACACTTGGGTTGTGGAGTGGCGAAGTCATGCATAGGAAGATACGTGGGTCTGGTAAGAAGAGTGTCAGACTGATTGTGGCCACAACATGTGATTCCTGTTCGAGGGGAGTTACTCCCTGGTATAAACACACATCGAAAGCAAGGGGTGTGATGGAGAAGATTTAGACCCCTCCGGTGGCCTGTCAGAAACTCAGTGCTTCCTATCAGGGTCCCCTTTGTCTCCTTCCTTCGCTCCCCAAGGACCTCGGACCCCTCGAATGTCCTTCCGCTCTTTGGAAGGACTTTGTCCGGTTTCTTTCATGGTCCGTCTTAAGACTTTTTGGACAGCTGCCCTGTGACCCGGTGCACGACTCAGTTGGCGGAACTGGTTTCTCGCCACGAAATGCCACGAAGACATCGAAGTGGATGGCCTTCTCTTTGTTGGAAGACCATTTTTGTATGCCCAGGGGGTGAACTCCACTTCCTTCCACTTCCTTCCGCTCGATCCCATCCGATCATCCCCGACCGTCCCGTGGAACACGATGCCTCGCGGCAGCGAGCCGCGGACTTCAGCGCCTCGCGGCGGTGGGTTCGGCCTCTGCTTCAAACCCGGCAGATGGAGATCGAGGGCTGGACTTACCTGAAGTTGGAGGACGGCCGTGGTTGGGTGCCAACCTTCCAGGCGCCAACCAGATCCGTGTGGCGTGGGACGCGGCGGCTCGGGGGGGCGGCGGAGCTCAGAGGAGGGCTGTTTGGGAGGCCCAGCCTGGGGCCATGAAGTGGGGATGTCAAAGAAGGGCGGCATTTTGTTCGTTTCAGTCTGACTGAATTTGACCATGCAGACTCCATTGGCGAGGGGACCTTGAAGACTATGTTGGGGCTTCAAGTGGCTTCAAGTGATCACCCACACGCGCACGGCAACTGACTTCATGAATTTCGCAGTTGCTGGTCCAGGGGCCATTGGTGTAACACTTAATCAAATCAAATGTGTGCAAGCTTGAGCAGTTCTTACGAAGTGACTCAGGCGAATCAATGATTGGGAAGACCCTCCATTGAAAATCTAAAGCCATGGATTGAAGTTGGCGGGTCCAATTCGACACCGGAAGCTGGAAGGACTATGCACCACTTCGGGCTTCGGGGACACCTGTTTGGGGGTTCTCCAACATCTCGTCGAAGCAGGTCCTATACACAGGTCACATACGGCGGGCCACGGAACTGCAGTGGACCAAGACCTGTCATCCGGAGAAAACTGCCAGCCTGCAGGTGTGTGATGGTGAGAAACTGCTTCTTGCCTGGACCTGGTGGATGGACGCTGACCTAGAGGTTGAACAACTCATGCTTTCGCCACAATTCCATACCTAGATCTTCCAACTCTACGCAACGTTTTCTGCCTTTTGGTTGGATTTATCGATGAAAAGGCAGATTTTGTTCACAGCTGGAAGAATTACGGTATGTACCATTTTGCTCCAGGTCCCAGTTCAGGTCTCCAAAAACCTCTCTTGGGCATGAACATCGTGCGATGGACCGAGGAACCGCATCATGCTGCGCAGAATCCCCACATCCATGATGGTAGGAAGGCTACGTGCTTGGTGATTTGGTCTAATCAATTTATGTTAATTAAGGTCAGAGGTTTTCATGATACGTTTCACCAAATGATGACCAAATGGTAACAGACAGTATATCAATCCGAATCCAATTGAATCCCCTTCAAAGCATGCACATCATGACACGACCAGTGCGGCCGAAATCACGGTTGCTTCATGGGCCGGGGGGGTGGACGAGGGGGATACCTCAAGTGTACAAAGCCATTGGTCTACCGACCACACCGACCCTTCGATTCGTCCCCTGTCCCTCCGACCCAGGAAAGTCATGGAGCCGCTCGAAGCGTGGGATGCCGTCATGGCCGGGGCATCGGAGGTGGTGCTGAACGCGGAAGGCTGACCGGAGAGCGAGGTGAAATTTCTCGGGTTCCACTGACCTGGGTTTCCGGACGTGGCATTCTAAAGGGTTTCCTTGATTTTTGAACGTGTATTTGAATGGACATGTGGATGAACCGAAACCCTGAGGATGGAACTTCTGTCGTCTCTCAGATCCATGGCCACTGGGACTTGGAGGAAAGACACTTTCTGGCCACGGCGGGATTCACATTCCAAGATTGGGTTGGAGGATCCGTGAGGTGTCATCTATGTGGCAGTGGGTGAACATGCAACTTTGTTTGCCGGGCCGTCATAGGCGCGTGCCAGCCCTGAGAGTCCAGTCAAGACTCAAGACTCATGCAAAACCCCGGTCTGGTACTACCGAGGGACCTAGTGGATAATGAGGGTCCAGGTGGGGTAGTTCAGTTCATCAAAAGGTCCGTGTTGGGCTTCTCAACGCAAGTTCTCGGCATGTCCAGTGTTGGAACTGGATCAAATTGGTCCACGGTCGTTGATTGGTCGCGTCCGCCGGCCTCTGCGCGGTCGCCAGGTGTGGCAGACTCCAGTCCCCTCGTGAGCCGCGAGGGTTGGGACGAAGAGCGTTTGAGGTGCGCGGACCAAACGGACCAAATGGGAGACCTGGACCAGCCGCTTGCTATAATTATGCCAAGTCGTGCGATATGTCAAACGTGGAAAGTCAGTGCCATGCTTGATGAAAACCATGCGATATGTATGAAAACAGGCCGTTTTGGTCGTTTTTGGCGTTTTGGTGGAGAGATAGACTTGGCCGACAAATACACTCCTGGAATACATGTTCTTCTCAGGTTTTGGCCAAGGATTGGGTCATTAAAAACATCAAGCTAAAGAGTTTGTGAGGTGGCCGATATGCTGCCAAAGTTTCCAGTCCGCAAGTTTCTGCCTTGACCCCGCAAGCTTCGCCATAGACTTGTTGTCAAATTTTGCAAGTTGCAGCGCATAAAAGAGTGACCACTTCATTACACATTGGAATGCCAAAAGTTGAACTGGAGAGTGTGCTCTGTAGGGTTTAATCAATTCTGCACCCCGATTGTGTCTTGAAGAACCCGAAGAATAATAAGAATGATCGACGTTCTTTCTTGGGGGCTAGCATGACAGCTCCAGAAAGCTTCTTTCTTGACACCTTTCTTTAAACAGACAAATCGATTGCAGATGGCCCGAGTCGACAGGAGTCGACATTTGCACTTCCTCCGCACTTCTGCACTTCGCGCAGGGCGCTCTGCATGAGACACGGCTGGGAGTTTGAGTGGATGAGCGAGGCGCGCGGCCGGCGGGAAGCGGAGCAGGGGAGTGTGCTGAGAGGACGAGAAGACCATGACACTGAGCTCTGCGGCCAAGTGGCTGATGTCTTGGACTGAGGAAGGATGTGTAGGGGTTTGCAGGGCCTGGTCCTTTCCTCAGAGGTGCGCAGGTGGTTCCTGCAACCACTCCCAACCTGACATCTTCAAGACTCAACAAAGGACAGGTATCGATCTATAGTCTATGGTAGTAATATATGTAATAGTAATATAATAATATATCTATCGCCAAGCCACCAACTCTTTGCCTCTACTCCAATGGACTATACCTATTAGCCAACAAAAAACAGAGAAAAACTATGATGTCTCCAAAAAACCGATGTGTTTTACAACAAATGAAGTGGTTTGGATTGAGGGCTACCAGAATGACCGCTCCCGGCTGGCTCCGGGTGCCTTCCTTTGGCCAGGACGGCGAACGCCGTCGGCGCGGCACGGAGCAGCAGGCGTTGGTCGGGGGCGCCCGGAAGAGTCGACCGGGGTGCCCGGAGGAAGGGATGGAGGAGGTTGCGAGAGGTGAAGGACAAGAAGGACAGAAGGACAAGAACTCCTGAAGTACGAGGGATGTGCTTTCAAGATCTTTCAAGCGTTCTTTTTTCACACACACTATATGGGGTAAACAAAAGCACAGGACCAAACCGCCATGAAAACGGAGTGGAGTTGTTCGGCGCTTTGGTGTCTCAGATGGCTTTCGTGTCTCGACGCTGACGATCCGAAGTCGCCTCCCGAGGTGCCCTTGCCGACCTTCACCACCAAGCCAGATTCATGCTGTCGGCGGCCGAGTCACACGAGACACATCGGCCGAGTCATCGGCTGGGGCGTTGAAATTGTTTGGGGCAGGTATACTTGACAGCACCTTTCATCCAATAGAAAGGGGTAGACATCTCAGTAGTTATCTAAGATGTTTCCATGTAGTTTCCGATCGCTTAAGTACATGGTGGAAGCCATTTTCTGGACTTGGGTCGCTTTGCGCTGCCCCAAAGGCGTTCTTTCACAAGGTGAGATGGAGAAGAACCCTGGCACCTGTATGCAATGGGTTTCAGAATGTTTCAGGTGGTGTGCTTGGGAGAGTAGTGGTTCAGTTCAGTATAGTTCTGTATTTGTGAAATAGGACGTGAAATTCTTAAGTGCCTCCATCTCGCTGCACCTGAATGCGGCGATCTACTGGTTTGGATCGACACATTCACCCAATCATGCCAGATCGCTTCTCCCCAAATTGCTGTCTGGCGGTCAATGACGAGACTTCGTGACGAGACCTTGAAGAGTAAAAAAAGGGGGTTCTTCCAAAAGAGTCTGGCGGTTTTTGTTAATGAGAAAATCTGACGCGACGGTGCGACGAAGCGGGAAGCCATGAGGGAGTGGCACCCTGGCACCCTCCCGGTGAAGCCTCTAGGTCCGGGTCCACCTGCTTTGGGGCATTGGAGCCTCCAGTTCGTAGGGTCCAATGCTTAGGATAAGATCAACAAGGTCGAAGCCGATCTCGCATGGGCGTCTTGTGTTTCTTTTCTTCAGGTCCAGATGGCTTCGAAGCGAAAGACAAGAAGACCTGAGGCGTTGATGGTCCGGACAAAACCTTAAGGTGGTGTCCGGAAGGCCTGATTTAGTGGTTCTCTCCTTTTTGAAGCTCTGTGTCGCACGCAGGTGGGGTTCAAAGCCGATGAAGGATGGTGACGGGGTCAAAAGGTAATGGAGAGGACATTGAGTATATACTAGTTGTCTTCGTTTTGCTTGCAGGTCTTTTGTTAAGACTGCTGAATGAAGACAACGCTGTTGCCAGCAGCCGATTTCTTCCTCCACATTCCCAGGGTGACATGTTTTATTTGTTTTTAAAACTACCGGATACCTAAGCAGCGAGAGCTGTGCCAGCTCAGACTTGGCGCATCTGGTTTTCTTCGTGGATGTCCGCTCAAAATCTCAATACGATGTGGGCAACAAGAGTGGCAACAAGTGGCCACGCTCATCTGAAGATCATGAAATCTTCCCAAAGAATTGCATAGGTCATGAAAATCCATCACCCTGCAAGTTTCCTCTACAGGCTAAGTTACTGTACTCACTGGTCCAGAATGGCCAATATATGAATACCAGTATATAGCTGCAAAGGCGCAAACCTCAATGTCCATTCTGGATCATCAGGGGTGATTTCCGATGCTTTGGAGTCTCCTTTCAGGGTCACAGGACGATACAACATACAAGAGTCCAGAGCTTCAGCCAGATCGTGACACTTGGAGAGGAATCCACCGAGAGGAATCCACTTGCCCTGAGCTTCCCAGATTCCCAGGAGTCTACGGCTTGGAGGTTTGAACCCCCGCTGGCGGCGCTCGTGTTGCCCGGCGCCGCGCCGGTGGAACAACTCGGACCTCGCCCTCTGACGAAGTCAGAGCGGTGGCAGCGGGGCAGCGGGTGCGATGTGGCAGAGGAGCAGGGTGTTCCGTGGGTCCAATCGAGAAGAACTGAGACACTCCAAGGCCTGGGCCATGATGCTGGTGTTTTCCAGGCTGATGCTGATGCTGAATCGAACAACAAATCTCCCTGCAGAGTCGACGTCTCACCACTGGCCAAGGCATTTTGGACTTGGTATCTGCAGGTGAAACCCTGCCTGCAACAAAAAGGAGCTCAGCAGGGCAGCAGGGTTTGCTGAACAGGACAGACCTCACTCTATATGAGAAAGACAGCAAGACACCATAAACATCCATAAACATAAAATTCGCAGATTACACCAGATGATTATGCTTCTGTTTTCTGTTTCTGTCAGATCTCTCTTGTGTCTTCTGAAAAGATCGGGGCTAGGTTGGGGCCAGTTCACGGGCCAGGTTGAACGCGTTCTAAGTTGAAGACCGAGTTTGGGGATTTACTGAGTCCATCAGCGCTCGACACACACATCCTCGGAAGGTTGGTGGACATGGTTAGACCATGTTAGACCCCCCAAACCATGGTTAGACCATGTGTCAGAAGGGTTAGAAGGTGCTTTGACATGCTTTGACCATGTTAGACCCCCCTGGCATCCACCCTAACGCCCCAAGGTGGTATAGCTTCAGATGTAGCTGTCCACAGGTGTCCACGTCCGCTCGCCCCCGAGGCCTTCGGCAGACCGCCGCGGGCCGCGGTGCTGAGGTGCTCACTGAGTCGCCGCGGCGCCTGAGCCGTCGAGCGGCAAGTGAGAGGACATCTCAGTGAAACCAAGTGGATTGACTAGATCAAGGGCAGAAATCAACGAACATCACTGAAGATATACAGCGGGGAAGGTGAACGACCTGCCAGGAAGACTAGTTTCCTCCATGAAACCAGTGGTTTTCAGGTTGCCATGTTTTTCCATCAGGGCGTAGCCATAGGGATTCGACATCAGATCTCCCATTGAGGTGTGATGTCTAGATCAAAACAAGTAAGAGGTGCATAGCCATGGGTGATGGCTTTTGTAACTCAAGGACTGTTCCACCCACAAGCAGTGCCATTTGTCCCGAGTTACTCGTAGGTCCCGAGTGGGTTAGCTGTGCTTTGGAACACAGCAGACAGTGGAGCCTCTGCTTGGCTTCGCTTGGACGAGTCTGACCGTGACCTCGTTTCCGAGAACTTAAGGATGGTCACGAACGACTCAACCGGTTGCACTTGTTACAGACCGGGCCGTATGGGAGCCGGGCAGAGACCGTAGATAAACCCTGACCTGTTGGGAGCACCGACCAGGTGCAGGTGCCGCCATGATGGACCAGGCGTGGCGCGCGCTCGCGTTGAGGCATAGGCAGAGATCCGTAGTGTTGGAAGGCTTCCTCTTGGGAGTCATAGGCTGTTAGGGCTCCAAGCATATCCTTAGGAAGGTGGTGAGACCATGTTAGACTCCCCTGGCACCCACCACAACCATCTTCTCAGGAGGTAGGCCAGGAGCCTTAGGGATAGGATAAGTCATGATGAATCACTTGATCTGAAGAGATTTCTTCACAGGCATGTATCTCTTTCTTACGAACGGCTCAGGACTTATTGCCAGCTCGTTGTCTGGATTGATATCCTGTTCATTTTCCCCCAGATGGACAATTGCAGGCATCGCTCGGCCATCAACCTCCATTGATTAAAAAGAACAACAGAACAACTCTGAAAATGGCGCGGCACCACCGGCGCTGCCAGGAGGCATTCTGCAGAGGAGGCTCGTATTCCGAACAAGCGTGTGTCCGTTGTTGTTCTCCCAGGATCGATTCATAAGTGTTCCATGGCGTCCGTCTTTCAAGGAATCCACCGCGTTTGTATATTATCAGTGCAGCCATGTTGGCTAAAAGCGGATTGTAAACCAGTGGAACAAGTTCGAGTGTCCGGAACTTTTCTTCACTCTGTCTTGGACAACCATGGACGATCACCCAGAGATACGCTGGTGGTTTTGAATGAGTTCTGCTTATCATTCCAGTCTAAACATGATACATCTGCTACATCTAATCATGGAATTTCATATTCATTCATCCAAAGCTGTGTGTTTTGCAGAACCCCTCTTGAATCGGCAGGCAGTTTCTCACGCGAAGGAGCTAGCTTCTCGCTGGATCCAGATACCATGCAGAATCTTGGGCTCAATTGAAGTACTTGAGGTGTGGGGACAAATCCACCGGATTACCATATAGCCCCGGACGACTGTGAATGAACACGCATGGTGAATTCACTTCACCTGTTGCTTTTCGCATCGACCATCGCGACCGACCCCGGTCCTTCCCGGTCCTTCCCGGGGGCGTTTCGACGTTTCGACCGGAAGCTTTCCTCCTCGGGGACGTTCACCGGCCACTTCGGCGAACGAGACCTGGAAGAAGAACTGTGGAGCCCACGAAACGGGCGGCCAGCTAGTGACACACCAGTGACGCAACGAAACCAGTGACGCAAAGGAGATGACACCGGTGACATGGGGTCATGTTCGGTGAGATGGAGTAGCCCACGAAACGGCTCGTTGGAGCGGCAGTTGCTCCGGTCGCGCTCCATCCATCGTCACCGAGCAAGGAGTCCCGGTGGCTCTCCATCGGCGAGTTGGAATCTGGGTCCTTTGAGCGGTCCACCGGGCACTCCTGGCAGTTGCGGATCGTGCGCTGGAGTTGGCTGTGCTTGTGGTGCACATGGCAGTCCGCTTCCAGGCACCTCTTGTGGTGGGTTTGGGAGTATTTAGACAAAACAAACATCAGTGGGTAAAGGAATAGCAGCGAACAATTAAACATTTGTGAGATGCTGGTGGTGTTGGTGTTGAGCCAAGCTTATGTGTGAACCTTATTAAATGTGGTAGTCAGCCCTCTTTGTCTGCTGGGTGAGAAGGAAATGGTTGTAGCACTGTAGCACCATATTCTGCTAAAAGAGGAGGATCCAGTCTGGTGGTCGTGGGAGTCGACGGAGGACTGGTTGACGTTCTGTGGACCAAAGAGGCGCTTGAAAGAAAGAACGAGTTCAAAGAAGAACTGGACTCGGATAGATGTTCTTCGTTCTTCTTCACATGGAATGGTGGCCCAAGTCATGTTTAGAATTGTAATGAATTGTAGAACGAGATGTTTTTAGGGCATTGCAATCAATAGGCCGTTGGCCTCGACGTACCTACACCCTTCGTGTGCAGGATGCAGGCCCGGCCCTGGCTGCGTAGATGGCATGCCTCAAGGTCCTGGCTGTTGTGGGTGTGATGGAAGAGGTTGTGGGCCTGTTTTCGGATGTGCAGATGGCTGTGGATCCGGGCCTGGCTGTGGACCATGTGGGCCTGGTTGTGGACCATGTGGACCTGGTTGTGGGTGTGGACCAGGTCGGCCGGCATGCGGACCTGGAGGAATGCCTCCCTGTGGTGCCTGTGGCTTTGGTTGTGATGGCAGAGGTTGCGGACCAGGCGGCTGTTGTGGAGACAGGCCATGTGGCCCCTGCTTCAACTGTGGCTGTGCAGAAGCTTTTGGGCCTTGCGGACCTAGCAATAGAGGTTGCGGCCCTGGTGCTTGTGCAGATGGCAGACCATGTGGACCGGGCTTTGGCTGCGGCGCTTGTATCGACGGTTGTGGACCGGGCTGCGGATTTGGCTGCGGTGGTGGACCTTGTGGAGATGGCAGGCCTTGCGGGCCTTGTGGAGGCTTCAACTGTGGACCTTGCTGTGGAGACAGACCATGTGGCTGTGGCCCTGGATGTGGCCCCGGTGGATGTCCAGGATGCTTTCCTTGTGATGCCTGTCTTGGTGGGTGTGGACCTGGATGTGATACCAGAGGGTGGAGTGGCTGTGGTCCTGGCTGTGGCCCCTGTAACCCTGGCTGTGGCCCCTGTGGCCCTGGCTGTGGCCCCTGTGGCCCTGGCTGTGGCCCTGGCTGTGGCCCTGGCTGTGGCCCCTGTGGCCCCTGTGGCCCTGGCTGTTGCGGATCCTGTGGCCCCGGCTGTGGCTGCGGTGGATTTCAGGGCATGGGCTGCTTCATGGCATGTGGCGGGTGTGGCTCGCAAATGCCGGAGATGATGAAGCAGCCTTTTCCGGGACCTGTGCTGCGCGAGCGTGACGGACATCGCTGGGTTTTGACTCTTCTTTGTCATGTGGAGCAAAGCCGAGCAAGGGATAATAGAGAGAATTGGGCTTGCACTCTGTGGAAATCTCGGATGGAAACAAGAGTGGCATACTGCGACTCAAGTTATTAATTATTAAATAGAATTAATCCTGTTTTCATACCTCTGAAAGTTGGTCCCAGGGTTCCGTTTTCGACACGGGTCT